TGCATTTATGACTCTTTGATTGTCTCTCTGTTTTTCATTTGGCTTCTTTCAACCATATATTTTATGCTCGAGCAGGCTTCTCACAATGTTAAAGCTGGGGATAAGATTAATTGTACAATTTCGGAATTGCAGCCATTGAGAGCTGAACCTGAAGATATTGATTTGGATATAGTTTATGAGGATGAACATGTTTTAGTAGTAAACAAACCGGCGCACATGGTAATGATTCAAGAGACGTTATGCCTCAAGTTCGATATTATATGCTTAGTGGCAAGCTTTTGTCTGAAATTTGTAAAAGATTGTGATAGTTGTTTGATTTCTCCTTGATTCAGGTTGTTCATCCAGCTCCTGGGAATGCTACAGGAACACTAGTAAATGCCATTCTTAACCACTGCAGTCTCCCAATGGTTACCACGACAAATGAGGAGCTTCTGTCAGACATGGATATTTCTGATGATGAGCTCAATTCCATTGAGATTTTATCTTCTAGAGTTTCTGAGGCACCTATTCGTCCTGGAATTGTGCATAGGATAGATAAAGGAACTAGTGGATTGCTTGTTGTTGCCAAGGTGATTTACTGTCCCTTTTCAGCTTGCTTGCAGCTGCTTATCTCAAGATAAAATCAAAACAATTCTACTTTGGTGTTTCAAGAATTTGCAGCCCAAATGCTCCTCTCCCCGCCCCCCACCCTAACTATATCTAACTCCGACGTTTGTTGCATTTGAACAACAGGATGAACATGCCCACGCTCACTTATCTGCTCAATTCAAGCAACATTCTATTGAGAGAGTCTATATCAGTCTCACATGTGGAGTTCCACCCTCAACCGCTGGACGTATCGAGGTACCAATAGGCCGTGATCCGAATAATCGTATTCGCATGAGTGCAGTATCTAGAACAAATAACAATTCACATGCAAAGTACGCTGCTAGTAGGTACTTAGTTTTTCTTCGTCAATTATTATCATATGAAACGCAATTATAAATCTACTGGCTCTTGAAATGCTGTCTTCCCCATGTTACTACCCTCATTTCGTATTGGAGGTGTTTTTTTTATAACTGTGTACAGACAGGGTCTTTTTTGGTATTCATTTCATCAGATTAATGAAATGGGTTCTGTTTCCTGTAAAAAAATCATCTACATATAAGGCCAGAACTAAAAAGTAATGATAATATAATTGTCATCATCATAAATTTGGATAACTAATATTTAGAAAGAAAACTCCACATTTCCAACAGACTTTTGGACAGATTGCTCAAACTCTTGGCTGGACTGGTTGTTTATGTGAAGAGGTTAAGGTGGTGCTTCTAGAGACATTGTCATGTTGGTGGCTTAAAGGCAAAGCTAGGACTATTTGAAAGAATGCAACTTGAGCCATCCTTTGAAATATATAAATAGAAAGGAATAACATAATTTTCAAAGAGAGTAACAAAGCAGTAAGCTTTGGAGTAAATAAATAGAAAGGAATTATAGAATGTTCAAATAGAGTGGTAAAATTTTGGTTGGGTGACTGTATCGTACACTGCCTCCTCTTGTACCAAATTTCCATAAGAATTTTGATTGGGGTCCTGTACTCTTGTTATGGATCCCCCCTTGTGCTCTTCAGGAGGAGATGCCTCTTCTCCTTGCCCTTTTTTTGTATTCTCTTCTGAAAAAAGATATATTCATCTCTCCCCCTCGAACTAGTTTGCGAGATACATCTCATCCAACAAAGTTATGCAAAATTTACAGAAGTAATCTCTGGGATTTTCATTTCCATCCTTGTCCCATCTCTCATTATGGTGACATCAATATGAATTTAAGGATTAGTGGAGAAAGATCTTTTGTTTTTTGTGTTTACTTAGTTATTTTTCGATTATAGAAACTATTTTAATATTATTAAGCTTGGTCATTCATTATGCTAAGTTGAAATGGCGTACATTTCACAGGTACAAAGTTATTGAAAATTTAGCTCAAGGAGGTTTTTCATTGGTCGAGTGGAGATTAGAAACAGGCCGCACACATCAGGTGCGTATTGTAAACTTCTTGCTCCTTAAGCTGCTTCAGAGGGCAATGAATATATATAACAATCCATCTAACAATGCGTTTTCACCAATCACCATGTATGCACGTGCATAGACATATACATTCTTTTGTTTCAATAACATTTCTGTACGCTACTGCTTTTGTCTTCAAGTCATAGTGTGTGCATACGTACGCTAAACAATTTAATGAGTCAGAGTCACACATTGAACGTACAAGCAGCCATATTTATCATGCCAAGTTTCAGTTCTTTCCTCTTTCTGAAAATTGAAATGTAGTTTTTATCACCACTCAAATCTTAGGAGTGAATATTTGTGAAGTAGATCCGTGCACATGCGAAGTATATGGGAATACCCTTACTTGGAGATGAGGTCTATGGAGGTACCAAGAGCATGGCCATGTCGCTGCTTCGGACTAGAACATCATCTAGTAGTCACAGCCAACTTATGCAACTTGTTTCCTCATTAGAGAGGCCTTGCCTTCATGCTCTAACTCTCGGGTTAGAAAATAAATTCTTAAGAGCTCATTTAGTTACATTCTTTCTTGTTCTCTAAAATAGCTTATAATTTTGGTTTCTTATTTCAAAGTTTTTAAAACTTGGAATTTCTATTTTTCTTCGCTAATAATTGTATGCATAATATCAAAACATCTATGTGACATATATTTGGAATATCTTATTTAATTTTCAGTTAAAACTTCCACATTTTAAAAGAAATTTTTTAGAGAAAGATAAACAAGAATGATTGCTAATCACAGTCTGTTCTTTTTTAAACTAAAAAGAGAGTGCAAAAGCAAGAAATGTTATAGAAATTTGTTTTTTTTATTTCTTATGATAAAAGCGCCAGAAATAATACGTGAGGAGCAAGAAACAAGATCGTAGTATGAGTCTTGGCTTGTTCTTTTCTTCTGTAAACAACTAATCCAAGATCACTGAACAATTGTAGGTTTATACATCCTCACACAGGGAAGAACATACGATTTTCATGCCCACCCCCTACAGATTTTGCTGAAATTCTGGGTCAGCTTCGTCAAATTAGCACAAAAAAGGTATCTCTCAAGTATTGATGAATTCTGTTATCTTCAACCCAAGCTCTTTTCATGGTGATTAGTGGTTTTATTAGCATTTATCCATAAAATAGGACAATATCAATCAAGAATGGTCCGGGAGCTACTTTATAGATAACCTAGATAGCTAATATGTGCATTTGTGCCTCTTTTTTGGTCGCCTCCTTGACATGTTAGTTAATACCATGTATTTTCTATTTCCTACCCATGTGGTACCTGCTTCTTGCGTTTGAATATCTATTTTATAGGTCTACTTTCCTTTTGTACTTCATCTTATGAAGTCAACTGAACTTAAAAGAAAATCAAGTTGTTTAATCAATGAGTGAGGATTTAATCATACATAAAATGTGTTAAAGTTTCAAATGGTTTTTCTTAGATATTAAAACTGTGAGATCTCACTTCAATTGGAGAGGGAAACGGAACATTCTTTATAAGGATGTGAAAACCTCTCCCTACTAGATGCGTTTTAATACCTTGAGAGGAAGCTTAGAAGGGAAAAATCAAAGAGGACAATATCTACTAGCGGTGGGATTGGGCTGTTACAAATGATATTAGAGCTAGCCACCGGGCGGTGTGCCAGCGAGGACGCTGGCCCCCAAAGGGGATGGATTGTAAGATCCCACTTCGATTGGAGAGGGGAACAAAACATTCCTTATAAGGGTGTGAAAATTTCTCTCTAGTAGACGCATTTTAAAACCTTGAGGGGAAGCTTAGAAGAAAAAGCATAAAGAAGACAATATCTGCTAGTGGTAGGTTAGGTTGTTACAAAAGTATCGGAGACATTATAGATATAAAGACATAATATAATAACTAAAGAGCAGACAGAAACATAAAAGTCTTCCTTCTACTCGCCTCTTATATGTAGTATGAACATAGACACTATTTTATCACACTTATAGCTATTCCAGATAATCTATACAAAAGAAATAATTGGGTTCATAAGCTTAATTTTAAAGATTATACGGGAAACAAATTCCCTGAAAAATATTGAACTCTACATCATCAGGAAATTTCATATCATATCTCATTGTTTAATCTCTTGTAGTCCTAATACATAGTACACACTGAAATAATTTTGAGATTTACAACCACATTAGCTATTGAACAATGGTTGCTGCCATAGAATCTAAGCGGGAGAGGTGGTTTTTGCGGTGTATCAGTTTAACCATTAACAGAGTGTTGTGATTAAAATTGCAGGTTACCAAATCTTAATTGAGATCCTTCAGTATCTGGCATACACACTCAGCGTCAAACGACTCGGGCATGAAAGACCGAGAAGGTACATTTGGCCCTAATATACGACCATTTAAGTTGGGACGTTTGGAAAATAAATTGAACTTTTTGGTAAATGACATATTTTTGGTTGGTGTTCTTGGAAATTCAACACTGCTAATTTGATCTGATATGAACAGGGAATGTTCCTAAACTCAATATCCCAATATCGAAATCGAGGCATAGCAGCACGCAACAATGGCATTAGAAATGGAAACGACACACCGTATCGGTACTCTTGATGGTGCTTCTACGGTCGAGATGATCGTTGCTTGTGTTGAACATTCGCCTAATCGCCATGTCCAATGGAACCTCATGTTTCACTTAATATTGATGGTAAGCCAGCCACCATTGCTATTAATCCATAGGAATGTAGTTGAATATTCATCATCATTCAATTGGAAATATATTTGAAAGACTGCAGTAAATTGGGACTCCCTTGTGTGAATTCAAATTAGGCATTTTGAACGTTATGAACATTACAAGTTACTAAGTTACGACATCCCTTTGTGAGGTTGTTTATCTCGGGGTTTAGGGATTAGGGTATGAAATGTTTTTCTCGGTGGAAAGATTCAAAATTTATGAAGGTTGTTTATCTCGGGGTTTAGGGATTAGGGTATGAAATGTTTTTCTGGTGGAAAGATTCAAAATTTATGACATCTTAGTCGAGGTTATATATATAACGGTGACCTGTCACAACTTGAATCATACTTCAAAGTGACACTGAACTTAAACCATAATAACCAACTCATCACGTACACCAAAATCCCACCATTAATTAGAAATTAAACTTTCGAACCCTCAAATTCAATAAGTAACACGAACTCCTTGATATCTAAGAATCTCACCAATAAGCTCTCCTTTACCAGACCCTACGTACCTTCCTTTAATCTCTCCATCTCTTATGAACAAAAACGTCGGCACTTCGACAACATCCATGTCCTTCAAAAACTGCATACAGCTCTCGTTCTCATCGCCGTTCATTCTGGCGAACACCGCCGTGTCCATTTTCTTCGACAACTTGATCACTGTGGGATAGACTTTCACGCAAGGTCCACAATGCTTCAACCCCACGTCCAGTACGATCAGCTTGTGATCCTCCTTGTGCTCTTGTATCAGCTTCTCCACATCCTCCCTGCTGTGTAGCTGAACAACTCCTGAATGGTTGTCGCCATAGTATAATACGTCGCCCTCCAGCTGATCCGGTCCGATCCCTTCCTCCTCGTGGATCTTCTCCATGTTCTTGTAGAAGCTGGAGGACGAAAAACGATACTTTCTTAAGTGATTTTAGAACGTAGGAAGCGTTTTACTTTAAAGCTAAACTCATCTCTTCCTTTCAAAACTACTCGCACTATTCTAAAAGTTGTAATATTAACAGTGATCTTATACCTTTATAGTACAAAAACCGTTAGAATATTGGATGAACAATCGACATACCTAATTAACACTCTTCTAAACTTAATCCATACACGTATTCTAATCACCCTTACGTTATCTCACGTCATTATCATTTAATGAATAGATTTATTTTTTAAACTACATTTAAAAACTATTTTTTTAATAATTTTTTTTGTGAAAAAATTACATATCTTAAAAGTTAATTGATATGTTTGCTATTCATATACTAATTTTTTTTGTTACATTTAGTTTTGTATTTATATTTTAATATAATAATTTTATTAAATTCAATAAAATTAAGATTTATGTAAATTAAATAGGCTTTAATTTAGATATTTAAAACCCAAATAAATTATAAATTAATTAATTACAAGAGGAATTTTACCTGAAGTGAGGAACCTTCTCGATTTTCTCTCTGTTACAGAGCTCTTTGGTTTGCTCCGATTCATCGCCCATCACCAAAATGAACTCCACATCGTTACACGTTTTGCTGAGGGTCACCATGAACGGGTACATCCGGCTGCTCTGCGCGCTGTGTGAAGCGGCGAATTCCACCACAACCAGCTTGCTCTTGGCTTTCTTAAGGGCTTCATCGAACTCCTCCGCGCTGTGGACTTGCTGGACTCGCTCATCGCCGGTGGGTTTCTTCACGCTCGGAGCAGCGGTGGCTTTGATTGTGAAGCCGCGGCGGCGGTGGGAGAGGTGTAAATTTGCAGAGAAGGCGGCGGGTTTGATGAGATTGGGGATGAGGGAGGTGGCGGAGAGGAGGCGGTTGTTGTGGGTGTGGAGAGAGAGAGAGGGTGGAGGTGTGGTGAGAGAGTGGGAGAAGGAAGCCATCGGAGTGCGGCGGAGAAAGGGAATAGAACAGGGGAGGCTCTGTTTCTGCTCTGCTCTGAATTGCAGGGGATGGCTATGGAGTTATCAAGAAGATCTTAGTGAAGGGGGAGCTTTGGATGACCACACATTTTCTTTGCGGCTGTGGTTTGTTCAAATGGGATGTTTTTTAGATGATTTTTTTTGTTTTGTTTGTGGTAATATCTTTGGGAAATTAAAAGGAGTGATTGTTGGATATGTTGGGCTCGGAAAGCTTAGATTTATATTTCGGGACCCTCATATGATTCAAGAACGTAGCTTTTTGAACTCTATAATAGAGCTCGTTACAGAATGAACCAAAGTAACCAATGATACTTTTATGAAAAATGGGTCGAGAATAGCACGGAGTATGACTATCTGTGTCACGACCCAAGTTTTGAGATTTCAAGAAATTGGATAATCATGTAAAGACGAAATTAAACACAAACAAAACAAAATAAGTGAAAAATACAATAAAATTTCCATGCCATTTTAAGAGACATTCCATATTAGTACCTACCAAAAGTTCCAAGTTATTTAGTAAAAAGGTATAGATAATAATAAATAATAATAATAATAATATATATATAATAATAAATACAAAATCAACCCTAAAAAGATTACAACTAACCGACATTTCGAGTTGACACCTCTATGTGACAGGACAGCTCCCAAACACCTCCCCACCTCGACTGGAACATGAAAAAGAAAGAAAAATGGGTGAGGATTGTGAGATCCCACATTGATTGATTCGAGAAAAGAACAAGTGTCAACAAGAACGCTGACCCTGAAAAGGGGAGAATTGAGAGATCCCATATCGATGGTAGAAGAGAACGAAACATTATTAATAAAGGTGTAAAAACCTACTTAACAATAGAAGCAGTTATAAAAATAATAATTATATTATTATTTTTTTTTAAGAAAGGAAAGAATTAAATGTTGATTATTGTCAGAGCCCACACTCACTGATTAGTTGTATGTTCCCAAAGCTAAATTTCATTGACCAGTAAATAACTTTTTTTTTTTATTATTTTAATCCTTAAATAATGTGGTCAACATTTTTCTCTTGTTTTTCCACGACAAAAATGTAGAACAACGACAATGCAATTCAACCTAATACGGCGCCGTTTCCCTGTTCGGAGTACACGATGTAAGTCTCAATCGCCGCCGTGTTAAACCCATTGAAATTGGACCCAGCCGCCGCCGTGTAAGCCCCCATCTTCGGCCAAACCAGCCAATCTCCAACTTCCAAATCCGGCAGCGGGTATCCTGTCAAAACAGTGTCCAATCCGTCGCACGTGGGGCCAAACACGGTGGTGCCATACATTTTCATTCCGCCGCACGTGGGGTTTTTCCGGTTAGATTTCAAAGCCAACGGCGTACAAGTCACCGTCGCGTGATCGTACAGTATACAGTTCATTGACCCGTAAATCCCGTCGTTAATCCAATACTCCCTGTGATCGCCTCTTACCCTTTTTCCGATGACATTGACGGCCAGAGTGAACGCCGATTCAGCAAAATACCGACCAGGTTCAGCCATGACGGTGATATTCAGCTCCGCCGGAAAATACTCCTGCAGGGCTGAATTTATCGTTAAGGCCGCTTTTTCAAATTGGGGTCCGGCGGTGAACCCGCCGCCGATGTTGAGCACATTCATAGGCGGAAGGGCAAGTCGGACCGCCGTGTCGAAAACCCCTCTAGCTGCGGCGATGGCAGAGGAATAAGCCCCTGTTTCAGCATCCCCACTTCCAATATGAAAAGAAACGCCAACGACGGCGAGATCAGCCGCTTTAGCAGCTTCAAGAAGAGGGATAATTTCTTCCGGCAGTGCGCCGTATTTCTGTCCCAATTGGCACCGAGCGCCGCCATCTTCAGGCGGTTTGATCCGAAGCAACAGGGCGGATTTCGGGTGGCAGGAACGGATTTTCTCGATTTCATAGACAGAATCAAAAGTGGTGAGATTAACGCCGACATCGGCGGCGAATTTGATATGGGATTCTGGTTTACAAGGATTGGCGAAGACAATTCGGTCGGGGGAGACGCCGAGAGCTAAAACAGCTTGGATTTCGGATGTGCTGGCGCAATCAAAATTGGAGCCAAGGGCGGCCATTACGGCGAGGAGAGCCGGGTTGGGGTTGCATTTGACGGCGTAGAAAGGGCGGACGGTCGGAAGAGATTGGGTCCAGAGGTTCATGAGGGCGGTGATGGTGGCTAAGTCGAAGATGTAGAAGGGTTCGTTGGGGTTGTCGGAGCTTAGGGCGATGGATTGGAGGAAAGGGAGGAGGCCGTGTTGGGGAATCGGAGTGATGGATTTTGGGCTGAGGCCTGGCGCGGTTTGGAGGAGGAGGTGGTCGACAGCCATGGCGGCGGTCAAGAAGAACACTTTGGGAATTGGAAACAGAGGAGGGGGAGAGCTCTATAAATACAGCCTAAATTATAAAATATAATATAATTAATTACAACTTTATTGACCGTTGGATTTGTTTAAAATTCAAACCTATTTTCATGTATTTTTTTTAAAAGTTACAATATTATTATTTTTATTTCTGAGAGGAATAGAAATTTAAAAATTATAATTACCACACACGCAAAAAGAGAATGTTGTCGGGAGTTGCTGGTCGGTGCAAAGTCGTAGGTGCAGGTCAGTTACAGGGTTCTCAAGTTGGATGCGAGTCAGTCAGGCTAGTTTGTGTGATGTGTCTCCATTGATGCCTGATACGTGTTCTCTGCAGTTCAAGATGCGTTGCGGGTCTATCCAGTCACCACATGTTCGTTGTGATACAATTAAGAAAATTGAGAGCGGTAAACCCTAATTTTTTTTCAAAATAGTCAACTATTTGTTGATGTGATATTTAATGTTTGAATTGAATGGAAATTGGAGGAGAAACTTGCTTCCCACGCTACCAATTCATGGCATTCAAAAGCCAATTAGCCCCCAATTGTGAGTTTAATTCTTAGTCCAAAGGGGTGGTGGGCGTATTGGACTTGGGGTTCAAAGTTGTGCCATTTTAGTCATATAGTGCGTAATATTCAATTGAATACAAGCTAGAAAAATGGGAGACAAGAACCCAAGAATGGAAATTTTGAACTAAGAACACCAAAAAGTCTCAAACTACGTGCCGCACCCAACCAATCTATCACGAAACATTTTGGGTTTGAAAATTGATTCGGGATGGTGCATCAGGCTCATCGAGTTTCGTTTGATTGGTTGTTTCTAGTCTGTCGTTAGTCTGTCGAGTTTCGTCACTAGATGAAAGATGATAGGGAATATGAAATTTTTATGTCTTACCCACTTCTATTGACTTTAGTAGTTTCTTGACCATGAGATCTCACGTCAGTTAGAGAAAGAAAGGAAACATTATTTGTAAGGGCAATGTTCCTCTCCCTAATAGACACATTTAAAAATCGTAAGACTGACAATGATACGTAATGGGCCAAAGTTGACAATATCTATTAATGGTGGACTTGAGTTGTTACAAATGGTATCCAAGCCAGAATATCAATAAATGGGACCCCAAGAGGTGTGAATTATGAGATCTCACATTGGTTGAAGAAGTGAATGAAGCATTCGGGTGTGGAAACCTTTCTTCAGTAGACGTTTTTTAAAATCGTGAGGCTAACGACCATATGTAACGAGCTAAATCAGACAATATTTGCTAGCAGCGGGATTAGGTGGAGAATGGTAATACAATATTTATTGGTAGGAGGTGACATGGCTCATAAACGATTTGAGTAAGCAAGATGAGTGGATATGGAGGACGTGGCAAACCCATTGAAGTTTGACCCAGTTGCTGACGTGTAAGCACCCATGTTAGGAAACAACAACCAATCATCCACCTCCAAATCAGGTAGCCAAAAAGTAGTCGAAATTGTATCAAAAGCATCGCAGGTTGGTCCAAACACAGTGGATTTGTACAGATCAGCATTTCGACACGTCAGATTTTTAGGGTTTGAGGTGGTGGCTAATGGTGTGCACGTGACAACCGCTTGATCGTTGACTATGCAGTTCATGGAACCGTATATCCCATCAGTTATCCAATACTCCCGGCGATCTCCTCTCACGCGCTTCCCGATTATGTTCGCCGCCAAAGTAAAACATTTCTCTGCAAAAAACCGCCCTGGCTCCGCCATGATCACCAACCCTTCTTCCTTGCAGAAATGCTCCGATATCGCTTCTTTGACGGCCACCACCGCTCCATCAAAGTGCGGGCCAGCCGTGAAACCGCCTCCAATATTGAGCACCTGTTAAAAATTTAAATATTTAAATATTTGACTCTTTATAATAGTCAGTTGAGAATATTTATTAATTGTGGTTGGTTTTAGCAAATATTATTATTATTATTATTATTATTATTATTATTATTATTATTATTTATTTATTATTATTAGTTTGAAAATACCCTTTGCATTTTTACCTTCATTCTTGGCATCCCTAGTCGAACTGTAGCATCAAACACGGCTTTGATGGCAGCTATGGCGATACGATAAAGGCCCGCGTCGCTACCTCCACTTCCAATGTGGAACGAAACACCAACGACATTGAGTTCTGCAGCTTGAGCAGCTTGTAGGAGCGGCACTATCTCATTCGGGAGTGCACCATACTTGGAGCTCAATGGTGACCGCGACGTAGTGTCCTCCACGGCATTGATTCGGATCAACAATGAGCATGTTGGGTGGCATCGTTTGATCTTTTTGACTTCGGCTATCGAGTCGAAAGTCATCAAGTTAACACCAACACTTGCTGCGTACTTGATGTGGGACTCAGCCTTGCATGGGTTGGCAAAGATGATTCGATCGAACGACACACCAAGAGCCAAAACGGATTCGATCTCAGCTCGACTAGCGCAGTCAAAACTAGAGCCCAGAGCAGCCATGGCACCAAGAAATGCAGTGTTGGGGTTGCATTTGACGGCGTAATACGGCTGAATCATTGGTAGATGACGAGACCAGTGGTTCAGGAGATTGATGAGGAGGCCAAGGTCAAGTATGTAAAAGGGTTCTTTGGCTTCTTTTTGGCTCCAAATTATGGATTGAACCAAACCCAAGATTCCATTTTTATTGAGCCAAGTGATCTTCCGACCATTAATCCCCGGAGCCATTTGTAAGCTCTGTATGCCGCCACCTGTCTCCGCCGCATTCGCCAGAGGGAGTTGCTCCATGTTCATGAAGAACAGCTATTCTGTTACTTTGAAATTAAACCTAGTAATTGTCAAAATAACTATAATATTTCAATTATTGATAGAAATAAATTATTTATAAACTTAGATCACTTTCCCTTTGGACGTTATTTTGATATCTAGAAACTAAATTTAATTGGATTCTAAAATTTATAAATAATTTTAGAAAGGTTTCTTATAAATTAAAAATAAAAAACACGACTAGTGAACCCAACCCTACTCTAAAATTTATAAATTAAAAATCATAAAAGTTGGATTGGACTAGACTTTTTTCGGTTGGAGTTGGGTTGAATTTTTAGAAAATTAAAAGTTTGATTCGGTTCTCAGGTTGACATTTTTTTTAGTTGGGTCAACCCAACCAACTCGAAATTAAGGTTACAAGTCAACCCAGCCCAACCTAACCCTACCCTACTTATTACAAAGACTAAGAATATTTGACTTTTGTAATCTGTGCTAGTGATGCATTGTTATTTGTAAATGTTTGATATTCGAGCTTTATGAGATTCCAACCTAACTCAATCCGAAAATAGAGAGTTGTGTTGTGAACTCTATTTGGATTACTCGAGTCATCAACCCAACCAATTCGAACTTTAGAATTGGTCTAAATTTTTTTTACAATAACAAAGTATGTTCGAACAGAATTTTCAATAGATAAGACACTATTATCATCCTAAACGTCACGGTAGTTTTGAACAAGAAATATCAATAAAAAAATTTCGATATGTCGGGTTGAAATAACACATGGAAAATGAGACAATACCTTAGAAGAGCAGTTTGAGACAGTAAAGAGAATGTTGGGAGGAGGAAGAGCTGGTGAAGGTGACGTGGAAATGGGATTGCATTACAAAAAGTGGGAGAGGGCCTTTTATATATGTGGAGATGTGGTAGCTACAAAATAGATATTTACAAGCTTTATGTTGAATAAAATAGATATTCACGATTAAAATATTTAAATGTCAAAATTAATAATATCATTAATGTAATTAAAATATCATTAATGTAATTAAAAAAAAGAAAAAAAAACGTCAAGGCCCGACCATGTCGCTCCCGCTATTCAACTAGTTGTCTTCCTCGCTCTCTTTTTTCTCTACTTCTCATCCTACCGTGCGACTTCATAAACACTTTGATTATTGTGATTAGTTGCCGCTTGTAGATGCAGGAGAATTTTTTCTCTCTGAACTACATATATCTATGTCTTTCAACGTCACCTGCATTCGATTCGATTTTCACTTCAATTAAAAAAAAAAAAAACCATGTAATAAATTAAAAATAATGCTAATTAATTGTTATTAATTAGTAATTTAATGTTTTCATAATTAATTATTGCATTTACAGTACAATAATGAATCGAGTTATTATATCATTTTAATAAAAAAAGATAAGTATATACTTTAACAAATTAATTTCTTGCAGTAGAATAATTAAATTAATCCACTTTTAACTTTTAATATAATTTTATTTGCGGTAAATTTAATACAGATGTGTTAGGTAGGTAACTTGTTCGACAAGACTCTAGTAACCATTCTAATAGACGATGTTCGAGGTAACTTGTTCGATAAGACTCTAGTTACCATTCTAATAGGTGATGTTAGTGATTTTCATTCTAGCTCACGTTTGTGGTTAAACCATAGATTTGTGTACTAATATGCATAATCTTTGTTGCAACAACTCACAGGGGTTTTGCCCTTGTGCTAGTTGTAGCCATGAATCGTGGTTAGTAAGTCATTTTTCTACCGTTTTAAAGGTTTTTTTTAGAGTGAAAAACTATATTATAATATTAAAAATTAAGGAAAAAAATTATGCAAGAGCTGATTTCCATGAAAATAAATGAAAAATTTTACGGGAATAAATATTGAAATAAGAGGTGGAGACATAGATGGGACCGGGAAGGCCTCCCTGTTCCTACGCTTGACATCTCTATTTATCAATTTGGTCCAATCTGAGTGGTTCAACAATTTGGATCATCGATTCAATGGTTTTATTCTTATTCACGATTTGTTCAACAAAATTTTTGTGACATCCTACAATCCCACGTTGGTTGAAGAGGAGAACGAAACACCATTTTATAAGAGTATGAAAACCTTCCCCTAATAGACGCGTTTTAAAACTTGAGGGGAAGCCCAAATGGGAAAGCCCAAAGAGGATAATATCTACTAGCGGTGGATCTGGGCCGTTACAAATGATATCAGAGCCATACATCGGACAATGTGCCAGCGAGGAGACTGTTCTCTGAAGGGGGTAGACACGAGGCGGTGTGCCAGTAAGAACACTAGGTCCTGAAGGGGGTGGATTGTGACATCCTAGAATCCCACATTGGTTGGGGAAGAGAACAAAACACCACTTTTAAAGCCTTGAGCCTAAAGAGGACAATATCTGCTAGCGGTGGAATTGAGCTGTTACAAATGCTATCAGAGCTAGACATTGAATTTTTTTTATTTATTATATTGTTTAAATTAAATAGGAATTATTTATGATTGGTATATTTCACGGGAGTCCTTATAAAATTGAGTTATTTCAATAACGAAAACATGTATATTGCAAGATTAAAAAAATTATGTATATAAAAAAAAGCTACATTGATAAGTAAATAATCATCTTATAATAATATAACAGGTGAAATAAAAAAAAAAATATTCAAACCAAGTAAATAAGGTTATATTATAAAGTTATATAAAATTAATCTTAACTCATTTTTATTATAATAATTATATTGAATTTTATTTTTATTAACCATTCTAAACAAATTAAAAGCCATGTTTTTTGCAATATTAAATAATTATGAGATAAAGTTTAATATTTATTCCATCAAATTCGACATATGTAATTTAAAAAGACATGGAGAATATTAAGGATGTCACATGCATATAAATGAAACTAATTACCATATATTAAAATGTGTATTTTTAAAGTGCATTAATTTATAATATAAAACCTTGTGATAATTTTTTTATTAAAAAAAAACTAATTTTAGATTTTTATTTATATTTTTTAAACCGTGTTTTCTTTAAAAAATATATATATATATATATATAATAAAATAATAATAATAATTTGAAAGTCATAACATATCAGATCTTCAAATTTAGATGAACAAGAAAACGAAAAATAAGAAAAAAAAAAGTAGAAGTACCTCAAAAGGGTTTCGATATCTTTGGACGAGACACTTAAATTTTGAAGCAATGAAGAAAGAGCAGCTAAGATATTGGCGCGGCTCAATCAAACTCAGCTACAGTTTAAACCCACTACATGCACGACGTACCGATAGCGTAATTGTACTTGTAGGTATCAATCTGAGTGAACCGGGCCAATATCAGAACGACTATTTCAAGCTAAACGAAGACGATCGGGTATTCTCGTTCGCAAAATGGCTTATTGTAAGAAGAAGAAAGAGAGGCGAAGTAGGGATTTGTGGGAGTGGGGAATGTGCAAGAAAGATGAGATTTAAGGGAGAAAGGGTTTAGGGTTTGAAGGATAGCATTAAAGGCAATGGACAACCAAAACCCTCCAAAAAGGACCAAATGCATTCAATGAGGTATCAGAGAAGGGTGGGCAGCCATGGATGATGATGATATTCAAACTCATCAAGAAAACCCTAAGGAGTTAATGGCTTCTTTGATTCCTATGTTCTCATTTGCCTTTGTTGTCGTCTTTTATAGAGGGACAAGATGGTCTGCAAAATCCCACATCGGTTTGAGAGAGAAACGAAACATCATCTACAAGGGTATAAAAACCTGTCCTTAGCATACGTGTTTTAAAAACCTTGATGAAAAGTCGGAAAAAAAAATTCAAAGAGGAAAACATCTGTTAGCGGTGGACTTTGACTGTTATATGTTCTATACGCTCGAGTAAAAACGGAGTACATGAATGAACCGAGATTACATTTGAATCAAGGCAATCTTAAGACTATAATACCTAAGAAAGATTTAAAAGAATTGAAAGTTACTACTTATACTAACTCCCGACATTCTTTTGCGACATGATCATGTTATTAAAAATAAAAACTATCCCTACGGACTAATACAAGACCTTTCAACATTTTATATGCATTTAAGACACCGAAAAAAAAGGTGTACCTTATTGGTATAGGTGATAATTTTCAATTGTTTTAAGCCTTATTTAGCCATCAGTCCTCGTGAATGCTCTAATTCGGATGTGATCTCAATTCATTTATGCACCTCTCGTTTATAGGAACTTTTCGTAGCTCCATATTTCAAAATCGGATCTTATGGATTATAGATTTAAATCTTATTTATTTAATCATTTTTTAAGAAAAATGATAAAAATATAATTTTTTTTAAACAATATTTTAGGTTATGAAATATCATAAAAATATAGGGGGGAGATTGTAAAATCATTAAATGAATGGGGAAGAAAGAAATATTGGAAGTCTCTAGGGGTGTGTCATCAATTAACTTCTAGGTTGTTGGTCGTCTTTGGCTTTTTCTTTTTCATCATTTATTATTTTTCAGTAAAATTTGTTGTTATTGGCTGTCTCTACAGATTTTATAATAATATCTCTTAATTTTTATTATATTATATTACCATAAATATATATATTTCATAATAAATGTCTTAATTTCTCGTTTATTCTTACATAGTCATAAAGAGATGCTCGTTTTTAGTCAGGTTAACTTTGTTGGATAATGAAAGTCCCACGTCGACTAATTTAAAGAATAATCATGAATTTATAATAAAAAAAATACTCACTCCATTCACATGAGGCATTTTAGAGAAGCTCAAAACAAAGCCACGAGAGCGTATGCTCAAAATGAACAATATCATACCATTGTGGAGAGTCGTGTTCATTTAACATGGTATCAGAGTCATGCCCTAAACTTAATTGCACCAATAGATTTGTAAATCCTTTAATGTCAAACAAAGGACTCAAAAAAAAAAAAAAAAAAAGAATCGAGCCTCGATTTACATAAGATTAAATATTAAAATATTCATCAATATAAATATATCAGTAAATTGAAAGAGTTCGACTATTAAAAATAATTAATTGATATATTTGTAAGTGACGAATGAGGGCTTAATTTTTAAATACTAATTGAAATCTTCGTTATCAAATTCAAATGCTATTTATATTTGATTAATATTAATAGATATATATCCTTTTAAGTTTTTAATTAAATATTTTTATTTTAAATTAATAAATTTAAAATACTATGGCTTATTTATTGATTTTCTCTAAATTTAGCAATTTGTTATTTATACAACGATTTTTGTCAGGTTATTAAATTAGTGGAGTAAAAGTCTCTAATTTTAATTTTTGAGTCAAATAATTATATTTTAAAATTATGATATATTAATAAATGGGTTAGTCAAAATTAATTCCAATAAATAATTAATTGACTATAAATAATCCGAATAATTAATTATAATTATAATTATTTTTTTTTATGGAGTAGCTAATCTTAAATTAATTAATAATCCTACTTGTATACCCATTTAACTAATAATTTTAGTAAAGAATTGATATAGTTATTTAATAAAATTATATTTCCCACGGATAATTTACCGGAGTTCCTGCGAGTAATTTTTTTCTCGTTTATTATTCTTTTAAAAAAATATATAATTATTTTAGAAGTTTTATTTATTTAATATATTTTTTTTATTAAAAATTGTAAAAAAAAACATAATAAATTGATATATATATAATCATCTACTAACATAATTTCTAATATAATTAAATTTTAATATTACTAGTTTAAATACTAATCTCAAATTAACTATTTTTTAAAACATTCATTAATTTTTTGTTCATCCGCGTGTCTGTTGTGCATGTTCTTCAAAATATTACTTTATATAGAAAAAGATAAGATTAAAAGTGAGAATCAGCACACAGAAACTTAAACCCATCCATTACTCTTCTTTCTTTAGCAATGGCGACGCCGGTGAATGTGTTCGGACCACCGTTATCCACTGCCGTATCCAGAGTCCTCGCCTGTCTGCTCGAGAAGGATGTCCCGTTTCAGATCTCGCCGGTGAACATGGCGAAAAAAGAGCACAAGAGCCCCGAATATCTCAAGATTCAGGTTCATTTTAGTCGTAAATTTCCGATTCAACTATCGTTTTAGTCGTAAATTTCCGATTCAACTCTCGTTTTACTCGTAAATTTCTGATTCAACAGCCATTTGGTCAAGTCCCTGCGTTTCAAGACGAAAGCATCTCCCTCTTCGGTAATTGATCTTCGATTCGGTCGCTATTTTAAACTTGAAATTGTTCATCGATTACAAACCCTAACGTTTCCGATTGTGCGATTCGGCGCAGAATCAAGAGCAATCTGCCGATACGTTTGCGAGAAGCACGCGGAGAAGGGGAATAAAGGACTGTACGGACTTGATCAGTTACAGAAAGCTTCGATCGATCAATGGATTGAAGCGGAGGGGCAGAGCTTCAATCCGCCGAGTACGATTCTAGGTTTTCAATTGATTTTTGCGCCGAGGATGAATGTTCCACAGGACGAGAAGGCGATTAAGGAAAGCGAGGAGAAGCTGTCGAAGGTGCTTGATGTGTACGAGCAGAGGCTGGAACAGAGCCGATATTTGGCCGGAGATGAGTTCTCGTTGGCCGATCTTTCTCACTTGCCTAACATACATTACTTAGTGAATTTGACGGATAGGGCGGAGCTTTTCACGTCGAGGAAGAACGTGGAGCGGTGGTGGAATGAGATCTCCGGGCGGGAATCTTGGAAGGAGGTGGTTGAAATGCAGAAGCAGGGATCTTCATGAGCTTTGTTTTTGCATTTGATCGAATATTTGGGGATAATAAACGGTCAAGTGTTCTTCGTTTTCTAAATAAAAATTAAGAGTTATAACTATTAGTCTTTGAATTTCTCCCTCTCAATCAAATTTATTTTACAAGTTTTGTTTGTTCCACCAAAGTTCTTACAATTTTATGTTGATTAACCGATAACAAAAAGAAGAAACAGTCTTGTTAATATAGGCATGTTCTTCGTTTTCTTGGGCTTTTCGATTCGTGTTTCCTTTCAATGTTTTAAAAACGTGTATGCTAGAGACTTTATAAAAAATGTTTCGTTCTTCTCTCAATTAATGTGAGATCTCACAATAAGCCTCCTTCGAGGATTAGTGTCCTCACTGGCACTCATTCCTTTTTTCAATCGATCTGGGCCCGAAAGGCACGTGGGACCCTCTAAGTCCTCACTGGCACGTGGAACTTACATGCATTCCTTTCTTCAATCGATTTGGGCGAGCAGTTCAAGTACACTGTTAGTAGATATTATTCTATTTGTGCCTTTTCTTTCGAGCTTCCCTTCAACCTTGTAAAAATGTTTTGTTTTATTCTACATGGAAAGTCCAAAGAGGACAGTATCAGCTATTCTTCGCCACTTTCGGCCACCTCATACTCGATGCCGTGTAAGGATTCTTCCTCCCTCGAATTTGAGCTTCCAATTGCAAAAATGGCAAAAAGATCAAAACTTTATGGTGGGTTTTTATTAATTTTAAAAATTTAATATATAAAATATAATACACCAAGCAAACTGGAATTTAACTCAAATGGTAGAGCGTTCGCTTTGCATGCGAGAGGTATAAGGTTTGATACCCTGCATCTCCAAGCCGTGGGAGGAGAGAAGGTTGGGACATAGTGGGAAGCCGTGGGAGGAGAGAAGGTTGGGACATAGTGGGAAGCATTGAGAGTACTGATTGTTGGATGATAAAAGCCATGAGAGCGTAGGCTCAAGGTGGACAATATCATACCATTGTGGAGAGTCGTATTCATTTAATATAGTATCAGAGTCATGCTCTAAACTTAACCATGCCAATAAAATCCTCGAATGTCGAACAAAATATAGTCACACATCGGCTAATTTAGTGGAAAATCATGGGTTTATAATCAAGGAATACTATCTCCATTAATACGAGGCCTTTTAGAGAAGCCCAAAACAAAGCCACGAGTGTTTATACTCAAAGTGGACAATATCATATCATAGTGGACAGTCGTGCTCGTCTAACACTAACACTGATTTGAGTGTTTACCATGCAAAAATTTAAGAATCAAATATATTGAAAATTTTAAGCCTCACTCAATCACCTATTCTAAAATAACTAACAGGAAAAATAAGGACAAAACATGTTACTATCAAAAATGCATTCGGTGAAGTCAAACGTTAGTAAAAACAATGCTTCCTCAGAGCGAGCCAGATTCAATCATTCAATCATTCAATCATTGAGCTGGTAATGTCATAGAATCTATATCATCTGGCGATTCAGAACGCTCATCCTTCATATGTTTGCTCAATCTTCTCAACTCTACACGTATATTAACAATCTCTGGATGTATCTGGTCGCCAACTACAAACACATGAACTTGACTTTTCAATTCAATCCAACTACAACCTGGATCCTTATTCACCCCTCGAAGTTTCATCGCCCGTCTCACCCGTTCGACATCATCAGACCTTCCCAATGCAGCATAGATACTAGATAATAACACATAAGCGGACGATTCTTCTGAACCTAACTCCATTAGTTTCTCACCTGCATACGCTCCTAATTCATAATTTCGATAGTTTCGGCACGCTCCTAGCAAGATACGCCATAGATACATACCGTGATCAATTGTCGCAGATTCTATGAACTCTTTCGCTTCCAGTAGCTTACCAGCACGGCTTAGAATGTCTACCATGCAAGCATAATGCTCGACTCTTGGAACGATGCCGAACTCACCAAGCATCATCTTGAAATAGACCTTACCTCTTTCCACCAATCCCATGTGGCTGCATGCAGAAAGAATGTTCACGAAAGTAACGTAGTCGGGTTTTGTCGGGCCTTGTCGCATCTCTTCGAAGAGTTCAAGGGCCTTAAGACCCTCTCCGTTTTGAGAAAGACCGGATATCATTGCATTCCATGACACAATATCTCTAGTTGGCATCCTCCTAAACACCAGGTTCCCATCTTCTAAACTACCACACTTTGCATACATGGTTGAAAGTGCACTCCCTATTGGAACTTCTAGATTGAATCCATACTTAATTGTACGGGCATGGATTTGCTTACCTTGTTCTAAAGCAGCAAGGCTTGAACATGCTCTCAAGACACTAGCCATGGTTAACTCATTTGGCATAATCCCTTCCATTTGCATTCTACAATACAGAGTCAAAGCAGTTTCATTTTCACCATTTTGAACATATCCTCCAATCATGGACGTCCACAAAACAATGTCCGGTTCTTTTAAGTAATCGAACCCCTTTCGTGCATCAACTAGGCTTCCAGATTTAGCATACATATCAACTAAAGCTGTCATTATATAGATTTGGGATTCATGTCCCATCTTCAAGGAATAACCATGCATTTGTTTCCCTTCTCCCAGAGCACCCAAGTCACTACAAGCATTGATCACCCCAACAAAAGTAAACTCACTAGGCTTATTCCCATTAAAATGCATATTAGAAAACAACTTCAAAGCCTCATGCGAGTTCCCAGCTTGTGCATAGCCAGTTATCATAGCTGACCATGTAATGGAGTTCTTATCACCAGACAATTCGAATGTTTTAAGTGCATCATCTAAGCACCCACATTTAGCATACATTGTAACAAGAGCGTTCCCTACAGAAACAATCGATAACAATCCATTTTTAAGGGCAAGACAATGAATTTGCTTACCAGAGCCAACAAGTTCATGAACCGTCAGTCCACTAAGCACACTGGTATAGATAAACTCATTATGAATTCCCTCTTC